AAAAAAAAATCAGCGCTGCTTTTGCCCCAGAAAATGACACATGATGCTGTTAGATGCATGTAGTACGGTACCATATAATCTTTCTGTTATTGGGAACTTGACTTTTTGTCTCTGTTATGTTATGCTATGTTATGCCATTTCCTTCTTGGTATCTTATGGTGTCTTCATTGCATCATCCAGACTAAAATAAAGGCTGACCTCACTGTAATTTTGACCAAGTAATAGTTTATTTTTAGTGAGTTGCTTTGATATTTTTTCTAGAAAGTGGTATAAAAAGGAGTAAAGAAATAAATAGTACCTGCATTTGTTTCTGTGGTTGATGACCAATTTTCCAATAATTCATGCTGAAAAGAATGTCAATAATTTGGAATTTAGATGAAAAATTGTCATTTTTGAATGCAGTGTACATTAAAATAGCCCTATTCCTTCTTTTTCCTAGGGAGAAGTTGGTGACCCTGGGAAAAAAGGCATTCCTGGTCTCATTGTACGTTGCATTTTTTTAGCATTCATATTTAAGGCATCAATTCTGACAATATTTTTGAAATAGAATTGACACATTGCCTCCTTTGTGTTTACACAGGGAAAAGCTGGAATCCCTGGAGAAAGAGGCAATCCAGGAGCACCAGTAAGTTCCTCATGCTTCAGTGAAAGATTTATTTTTTTATAATTCCATTCTGCTTCTCACATAATACACTGAGTTAGATAGTAGTTGAGATCACCTAACATGAGCTGGATTTAAATTACTCTGCGAATACAAGTAACTATTGTTTAATGACTGCCTTTAGAAATATTTGCAGTTGTGATGGTGATGAAAAAGTAACTTTGCAACCAACCCTCACATTTGCAACTTTTGCAAGTCTATAAAACAAATGAAAGCTGAAGTAAGATCATGGGCACAGTCACAGTTTCATTTCAAAGTAACTACTTTGTTTAATGACCAAGTTGCTAGTCCTAATTGTGGTTACTAAATGAAGAGGCCCTTTATTAGAAACTAGTCTAGTTTTCATTCAAATAACCATAAGGGTTCTTGGGGGCTAAAACTAACTTCCCTGGCCAGGGGGATCATATGAATGCCACCATTATGTTACACTTTTATATTGCTAATGTAAGTAAATTGAACATTTGATATTTCTAATAAAATTCAAAGGAATTCCTGCAAATGTGTACGAATTCTGTCCTGTCAAGAATTACAGATTTTTTTTCCTGCAGCAATTCATATTTCTCTTTTAATTTAAAATGAATGGAAATCAGGAGAAGAATCATAACACTTGTTCCTTCCCCATAGCCCAAGTCCAATCAGAATTACTTTCCTGATCTTTGAAAATAACAGCTTTAAGGTATTACAGGGGAGGTGTTTAAAGTATCTACATGTAGGACCCAAAGCAGAATTTAGTTTTGATATAATAATTGCAGTGTCTTTTCTCCCATTGATGGCTGGTTAGTTAAGCTTTGGCAAAGACTGGAAAACAGTGCAGCCCAAAGTCACATTTCCTATCTAAGTTTTAAAATGTATAATTAAAGACATAGGTAATGATGGCAGCTATTACTGTTATCAATAATATATAAAGGCATTTATGTAATATAATTTATCAGATCTATGTAGCTCCTGTACATAGAGGGTAAGTACAATAATGCCACTGGCTCAGGTGACATTAATAGTTGCATTAGATAACAGAGAGCATGTTGAAGAGATGATAAATTCCCTGTAGTTTCTTTGATTGAAGAGATGATAAATTCCCTGTAGTGCAACAACTTTTTATTTTGTATT